GGCACATAGAGATGCAAGTAAGAGGCATATTACCCTGACACCATGGTAAACAGTAGTAGCCTTACTGGCATTAACAATACAATAGCGAGCCGGAGCTTTCCGGTGCTCCATGTTCAGTGAGACCAAAGGCTGGATCTTTAAATATTCCATAGCAGAAATACTTTGGTCCCCCATAGCAGGAATGGGAGAGAACTGGCCACATTGAGTCCACAGCCAAGAAACAAAGAACAGGAATCCTCCTGCTCGTCTTGTTGTCTCCTGTTTATTTCAACCAGGAAGCAAGCACAGGGACTGCTGCCTCCCATTTAAGAGTGGGTCTTCACACCTCAATCAGCACAGTCAACACAGCCTCTCAGATACAGGCCCAGAGGCTAACCACCATAGACCCCACCTTAACAGTTGTGATGCTGAGCAGATACAGGCCCAGAGGCTAACCACCATAGACCCCACCTTACAGTTGTGATACTGAGCAGATTTATACAAATCAATCGCTATGTTTCTAGGGAGGAATGGTTTTCAGTGAAGAATCTAATTCTTCTGGAATCTAGCAGGGGATGGTCTGTGGGCAAGTTCTGCTGAGATATACACTTCTCTACCTTTGCTGAAGTGCTCTCCAGCCTGTTCTCTCTTATTGCCAGTCAACAACAAAATCACTTTCTTCATAGGATATGGTTCTAGTTGCAGAACTTTATTTCAGCTTTCCACTTACTTGGCTTTAACTACTTGAGTTTTGGATCTTTTAAACTCTACATTTAAAAAAAAAATTGACACAAATCACTGTTGCATGGTAAACTTGCCAGTGTATAATCTCATGCCATACTGTAATTGCATCTGAAATATAGTCCCTTTTTAAAAACTTCAGCTAAATTAGGAGCTTGTCCCCTTCATTTCTGTCTCCCCTGGCTCTGAGAGTGGGTGTTTTTACCTGTCTCTTTAAAATGGAGGTCATTCAGAAGAACTGGCACAAAGGAGATTTCGAGTTAATGGTTCCACGGGAGAGTTGCAGGAAAGGCACGGGTGCTTTGATGCCCAAGCCAATTCTGGTACATCTATAGAAAGCCCGTGAGCATGTCCAATATGGAACTGATGTTCGTCACTAAGCTTCCCTCTCACAGAGGTTCCCGGGAAAGGCCCACCTGCTTGATTCAAAACCAAAACTGAATTCCCAGGGACTCATCCACCATCCTCCCTTTCGAGATCTGAAAGGGGCCTATGCAGTTGGAAACCTCTGAGAGTTCACCGGAGACAGGAGAAATAGGATCCAGCTCAGCACAGTGAAGGGCTCCACATGTCACCTCCTTCTAAACTGTATGCAGACGCTAAATGCTTCAAGGCTAAAGGAAAGAATAAACTTCCCTCCCAGGGAAGGGGCCAGCCTGCTGTTTAGTCTTCAGTATATCCAAAGCTCTGGCAAGTATACATCACCAGGAAAAGTCCATAACTTAACAGTCAGTAATGGGTGGGGGGAGCAACAAGCATTATGCTTAGAAATCCCTTCCTCCCTGGAAAATGTTTAAATTCACTGTGAAACAAATACCCACAAACTGAGGGCAATTGCCTTTTTGTTCTCAGCACCCCACCACTGTGGCTGCCATTTTCACAGTTTTGCTTCCTTCTCTATAAAAGCACCCCTTTCCTTCTTTGACATATCTCTCCACAACCCCATTTCCTTCTGAGTCTGCCTGTTCTCTTGTATCTCTGTCCATCCCTGCTTCCCTACTGGGTGTAGAAACTGAGCCCTCCTGAGGACTTGATGGCACATTCACTAAGGAAGCAGGATTTCAGGGACAGAAGGACGACGAGACACATGATGAAATGGAATCCCTGCTCTCTGGACAGAGAATCAGACACATGTCAAACATATAAGCATGGTGACTATAACAAACATAACCTAACTAGAGAATATGAGAAAAGGTCATCATAGAATTCCTACCATTCATTCTCAGAAAGCTTTCCTCAAAATGCTTGAGGATCC